ATCACATTAGGGGCGCCCCTTGGTGCGCGGCCCGCCAAGGTCTCCAGTTTCTGTTGGATCCCAGTGACTTCGCGCTCCCACGCAGTTGTTGGCTGCCCACATGGCAGCTGGCACCGGTGGATGGCTTGAGCGCCCGCTCCCCCCCCACCTGGGTTGCTGGCGCTCCCGCTTCGTTTCGATGGCCCCCTCTCGTGGCGCTGGCGTCGGCGCCCCAGTCGCGCGCGGTCGACCTGGAGCATTGTGAACACTTTCCTGCTGGCGCTGCTTGGGATTCCGTTGGCAGAGCCCCCACCCGCCTTCTCGGTCTTCTTGCGCCCCCCATCCTCCCCACCTCCGTAATGCCCTGGGCGGGGGCGCATGCTCCCATGGCCCAGGCTCTCACAGGACCTTCTTAGGCAAAGCAGCTAACGGCATTTTTGGGGCCCGTGCCAGGAAGACGTACTCGTCTGGCCTATCCAAGGTTATCGCGACCAGCATAGCATACTTTCTGCGATATTTGATCGTTGACAATGATGCCACAGCGGATTTCGTTTTCGGGAGGGAGCCCAAGGATCTCCGCCAAGGTTTGCTCGCTTTTTTCGTTCCCGACCTCGGGGGCCAAACGTGCGCTGAGGCTTCGGAGTTTGCGTCTCGACGCCGCAAAGGGTCGCAGTGCCGACCCAGGGAGAGAGAGAGAGAGAGAGAGAGAGAAAGAGAGAGAGAGAGAGAGAGGGAGAGAGAAAGAGAGAGAGAGAGAGAGAGAAAAAGAGAGAAATGTAAATTCATAATTCAGGTGCCAAGTCCTCCCAGCCCAGGTTCGACGCAGGAGCCTGAGACCAGCGCTCCAGCCCCGCCCGATGTGGTCGAGGCTGAGGAGGAACATGCCTACCTGGACCTTCAGGACCAGGAGGTGGCACATTTCTTGTCTCCCCCTCCTCTCTTCCTCGGCCTGACCCCTCGTCTTCCTTGCCTCTTCCTCCCCCCCCGCCCTGACCGAGGCTCAGCTTGCCCTCGTCAGCCTTAGGCGTGAAACCGCACGCGCCAGGAAGGCGGCCAGGCTCCTTGCGCACCGCGCGCCCTGGACCGCCCAGGGCGGAGAGCTTCGAGTCTCGTTCTTCTCTCTCGCCCCCTGCTTATTTGGGGTCTTGGATGGATGGAATGGATCTTCTTTTTTGATCCGTGTTCAGTCTTGTGACGGCGTCGCGTCGGCCTGGTCCCAGGCCGCCGGCGGCCTCTGTGCTAGTTTGTCAGATCGGTGCCGAGCATGTCCAGCGCGAAACTGTCGACGAGCAGAGAGCTTCCTGCTCCCCCCCGCCCTCTCTGCTCCCTGCTCCCTCGCCTCTCCCCCCTCCTCGCTCGTCCATCCTCCTCCCTCCTTGCTTCGACTTCCTCGCTCCTACGGCTTGCCTCCGCCCTCGGGACCCTTCCCCCCTCTTGACCCGCCTCCTCGCCTGTGGTGTTGGCGCCCTGCACGGGCGCGCCAGAAGCCTCCTGTTCCGATGAGCCGCGCCCCGTCGTTGCTGCCCGGGCCTCTTTTGACCTCTTCGCTCTGCAGCCGAACTCCCTCCTCGTCCGCCCTCGCTTGCGCCGCCTCCTGCTGCCTGGTCGTCTTGATGCAGTCTGAAGCGCGGCGTGGTCGGAGTGTGGTCGAGGGCCCCCGAACGGCGGGTGGGGTGGGGTGGGGGGGGCGGAGTGCAGGCAGCCTGGCCCCGGCCCGAGGCCGCCTCCTGCTCCTTTTCCTCATAGTTTTTTTGGTTTTGTGCCCCCCCCAACTCTATTTTTCTGCAGCACGCGCCGCGCCCGACTGGCGTCAGGTGCGAGAGACTGCTGGTCGGAGTAGTCCGCGGAGCACCAGAGAAGCGACGGGGCGGGCGAGGCCATGTTCGCCCGATTCCAAGCGCCGCCAGGAGGCGGACCGCGTTTCCTTTGCCTTTCTCGTGGCACAGGTTCGACTACCTCCTATTGCGTTTTTGAAATGCCCAGGAAGCCGTCTCATCGAGGCCACGTGCGTACGGTCGAAGTTTGGCTTAGCGTGTCGCTCCGCCGGGTTCTGGCGCACCACGCTTCGGCGCGACACGCTATCCACTTCCCGCCCCCCCAGGCTTCAACGTCCCGAGCCGTTCCGAGCCTCCTGCCCCGCGAAGCGGCACGCCATCTGTCGCTGGGCACAACGTGCCGCCGGGGCCGCCTCGTCGACGCGCTGCGCAAGAGTTTTCGTCCGTGAACAAAGCCGAAGAGTCCAGCGACTCCTGGGCGAAGCTGCCCCGCGGAGGCTCCTGGCTGGCGGGCCCCTCAAGCGGGCTTCCTGCTCCCGGGGCCATCCCCGAAGAGCCTGCAGGAATCCGGAGGAATTCTGGGCGATGTCGGTTGCAATCTGGAGGATTTCCCAGGCGGTCGTGAGGATTCCGTCAGGACCCCCATTCTTTTCTTCAGGAATCCCAAGGGGTTCCAGAGGATGTCTTCAAACATCCTCTCAGGACCCCCCGAACAAAAAGGAGCCCTCAAGACCGCAGGTCTCCCCAGGAATTTCGGGCACGTCTTACAAGCTCGCAGGAATTCCCTGAGGAACCCCAAGGCTTCCTGTGGTCCGTAGGAGTTCTGATGGTACGCGGGCAATTCTTCGGAGTCCCGAAGGATTTTGCGAGCACCCTGCCAGACCTCCTCGTTCATATTTCGCGGTGGTCTCAGCCCTCCAGCGCTCCAAGGCGACACCCGTCGCGGAACGCGTCCCCCGTCGACGCGACGCATCTTCCCTCTGTGTGCCCAGTCGGGCAGCGATGCGCCACCCCGATCGCGGAATGGGGCCCTCCACCAATCGCGGACAGCGGCCCCCGCCGCTGCGACGCCGCTGCGCCCCTCACCCCCGCGCGTGATCTTCGCCCGCGCGCGCATGCGCCCAGTCGCGCAGCGAGGCGACCCTTCCGCCGTGGAGCGAAAACCCTTTGCCACCATGAGCTGACAAGAGGCACCTGTTTCTTTGCAGCCTCCAGATTGCTCGGGGTGGAATTCTGGTCTGGGCTATGGGTGCGTGTTGTCGGATGGGGCGTCCCCGCTCGAACGGGAGTCCCCATCGGGGTCCGACAACTCGCGCCCAGCCGTGTAGCGCCATCATCGCCTTGCCCTTCCCCATTCCTCCTCCCTACAGATTTGAGGGTGTGCTGCTTCTAATCATGCCAGTCGCGGAGCGAGAACGCCACCGATGCGACGTGGCCGCGCCGCCTCCCGAGACGCGACGCGCGAGCAGTGCCAGGGCGGGCGGCGATGCGCCACCCCTCCTCTTTCCCAGATCTTTGGGCGAGATTCCCGCCGATGCGACGCACGACGCTTCCCCCCGCTGAAGGCGGCCACGTGGTGGCGGAGGCGAGGACGGCTCCGCAGACCGTTGAGGGTATGGTGCGCGCAGCCGGTCCCCCACCACCTCTCCTACGGTCAGGAACTTTGGCATGTCGTGTCGCTCCGCCAGTTCTGGCCTGCCGACGCGCGACAAGCTATCCACTTCCCAGCCCCCCAGCGTCAACGCCCCGACCCCCCTGCCCCGCGGAGCGGAGCGACACGCTATCCGCTCGGAGGTCATAGCGTGTCGACGGCGCCGCCGCCGCGACACGCTAAACAAAAGTTCTCGACCGTGTAACCCGCTTCCATTGTGACAGTGCTGGCACCTGCGGAAGCGCACTGCAGCGCAGGACTGCTGTTACGATGCACTGTGCCTTCAACGAGCTGCTTTGGAACGATGCTCCAGAGTACGCAGATGTCTTGGTGTTGGCAAGGGCCCTCACTGAGGGCAAACTGGGGGCAATATTACGATGCCCCTGGTGCTCGTGTGCTCCTCCTCCAGCTTCGAAGCTCATCCTCCTTCTCTACCTCCCCCTGGAACCGGCATAAGCTTGGGAGATCGGCGCACTCAGCTACGTGCTCAAACATTGGCGGCCTAAGCTTGGGAGATTGGCGGCCAAAGTTTTGGAGATTGGCAGCCTCAACTTGGGAGTTTGGCGGCGTGCACATCCTCCTATCCACGCATCGCCTCCTCCGCACCCAACCAAACTTCCCATACCACACAATCGTGGCAGTGCAGACGCTTGTGGAATCAGGGCCAATGTTCAGATGCCGTGGGAGCAGGTGGATCTATCAAGCGATGTTATTTTAGACTGAGCTTGAACGCGCAATGGGTGGCGACTGGCTCCCCAGCGGCATTAGCAGCGAGGGGAGGTGCTGAGAAGGGGACAACGAAAGATCCCAGAAAGAGGGGTGAGGCATCTGAGGACTGCCGAGGCGGCGGGCTGCCCGCAAGTGGCCCAGCCCCGTCGCAACATGTAGCTGCAACTGCATCCGTTCCAGGGCGATGCAGATGAATCACAATCTGACGAAGAACTTTGCCTCATAACTGTGCCACATAACAGGGCACTTTCAAACACACCCTCATTTCGTTCCGAACAATTGTGCTAAAGAGTGGCGGGATAGTAAATGGTGCCTTCAGCGAGGGTCTTGCCAGTCTTCCAATCGCCACTTGCCGAATCAATTGGTGTAACTGTGGCCTCAGACATGCGACCGAAGTATCGTCGCTAAACCCTCCCCGAACCCCCACCACCTCGCTGACACCATCACTTCCTCCTCCAGGCGCCGGCCTAAAACTTGAGGGGCCGGCGGTCTAAACTGCATCCGCACAAGTCGGCGGCCAATTGTTGGGAGATTAGTGGCCAAAGCAACGGAGATTGGCGGCCTGAATTTCTCATCTTCCTCTTCTCCCTCCTCTGGCTACGCTCTGCCTCCTCTTCGTCCCTGCCCTTCTCCTCCTCGCCCTCCTCCTCCTCCTCGTCCTCCTCCTCCTCCTCTTGCCGACCCCTGCGCCGCCGCCGTCGCCGACGACGACGCCGCCGCCGCTGCCGACGCCGACGCCGACGCCGCCCTGGCCCGGCCGCTGCCTGGGCGGCGGAAGGCCGCCGAAGGTCTCCGATGGCCACGGAGGGCCTCCGAAGGCCGCTGACTGCGCCTGCCGCGGATTCCTCGCCGCTCGGCCCCCGCAGGAGCGCGTCGGCTGCGTGCTGCGCTGCGCGGCCCGCTCGTTGCGCAGCCTCCGCGCTGCGGCCACGCTCTCCCCCTTAGGAGGCCGCCGAGGTGGTCGTGGTCGTCATCGTCGTCGTGGTCGTGGAGGCGGCCAGGGGGTCTTAGCTCGTTAGGGCCCAGGAGAATCGGTCAAGAGGGGGGGCATGAGCGCAGATCCGCTCAAAATCGGTGCCCCAAACCCCTCCCGGGTCCACCTGGTGCAGTTTTTTCACTCCTGATCTGGTTTTGAAGGTCCTGGGGCCCGAAAACGGCCCCCACAGGCCGAAAAGGGCAAGAATTTTGTCGAACCCAGCGCCTCGAACCTGCCCCCCCCCGTTCCTGCTGGCCAGGACCAGTGCTCGGCTGCCGCAGGCCCCCAGCCGACTCCAATCCTGGTCGTCGTCGTGGGCTTCTCCTCTGTGCTCTCGACGGGCACCCCGCAGCAGGGGCCGCTGCGCACAGCGGGGTCGCCGCCGGACCTCTGGCCTGCCGCCCCGCGGCCACGCTCTCCCGCCTTCCGGAGGCCGCCTTGGTCGTGGTCGTCATCGTCGTAGTCGTGGTCGTCATCGTGGGCTTCTCTGCGGTCCCCGAGCCCCCTCGTCTCTCCGACTCCGGCTCCCATCTCTCCCTGCGGTCCCCGAGCCCCCTTCGTCTCTCCGACTCCGGCTCCCATCTCTCCGACAACGGCCCCTGTGTCTCCGACCCCATGCCGCGATGCCACGTCTTCGACCTACATCTTGTTCTCCAGCCCATCTTTCCGATCCCGGCTCGCACCAGTCCAACTTCCAGGCGAAGCTCGGCAATGCCGCGGCGTGACCCCCCTACCGGGCCCTGGCCCGCCTGCGCTGACCTCGTAGGGCCGGCCCGTCGGACCGACGGTGCGCGCTCGGCTCCGCTCCGCTTCGTTCCCTCCTGTGACGGGCGTCTCGCGGCGGGGGCTTGCGGCGCGGGGCCGCTGGCGGCCTCTTTTTGGGCCCGCCTTGCCCCGCCGCGGCCAAGGCGGCAAAGGGGGGCATTGCCTGAGAGGCGACGCCACTCGCCGAAGTCAGCACGGTGGGAGATCACGTCCCGTCGTACCTCCGTCCCTCCGTCCTTCCCTCCCTTACTCCCTCCCTCCCTCCCTCCCTCCCTCCCTCCTCCCCTCCCTTTCCCCCCTCCTTCTTCCATTCAGCTCGGGCAGCTTTACGGCTCCTGGGTTTCTGCCGTGGAAAGTACATCCACGCGCACCACAGTTAGGCATTTCTCGGCAGTTCTCGTGCCACAGGACCCCAGTTCAGAGTTGTTCCAGTGCGGGAGCAACAGCGGAAACGGAGTGTAGCCTTACGTGATCTCAGCAGCTCGTGCTGGACCATATAACACACCATGCTGCATAATATCGAGCGCCACAAGGCCAGGGGCAACGGTCGACGCCAGCTCGACCAGCTCTACGCCGTCATGAGCAAACTCGTCGCCGACACCCCCACTCAGGTGCCAGGCATCCTACGCGAGAAGGACGGGGTCCGTTGGGAGCAGTGGGCCATCTTCCTCGCGAGCATCGAGACAGCTACCGACATTGACGTCGCGACCTTCGCCAACAAAGCAGCACCCTCCGCACGGCGGGCGCAGCAGCGAGCCGTGAGGAGGTCGCTCCGCGACTTCCGAGAGTGGGCTGTTACAGAGACCGCCATCGGCACGCTACATCGGTCACTGCGTCCACAGCCGCAGCCAGCGGAATCAGTCAAGACGGACGCTGGGATCTATGAGCGAGGCCTGCCACCTCTCACAGGCCAAGATATCCGACGTGCTCTTCGACGACAGCGTGCGTCCACAGCCATGGGGCCGATCGTCAACATCGCCGAGAAGAGCGTCATCATCTGCTCCAGCATCAGCGACGCCAGGCACGTCGCGCCGGCCATGAAGAAGGGCTTCCCCATCCAGGCGAAAGGCATTGCCAGCTACCTGGGCACCGACTTGGGTGCCGGAGTGCGACATGCCCGCAGCAACTGCACCCAGAGGCGAGCCAGACATGGTTTGGTGCATAGGAAAAGTGCGCTTCTCGCTCGGGACACTCGCAGGTGCAACTTGACGGGGAGGCTTGCTCAACAGGGGGGGAAGCTGCTGGCGCGTACGGGCACCAGCTCCACGGCGTCTACGGCGCGGCGCTCACGCTCTCCCGACGAAGGCTCGGCGACGCAGTCGGGCCCCGCCTCTCACGGAGGTGCCTGGCCACCTTCCTTCACCTCGAGGTAGGGAAGGGGGGCCCCGCCAGGAGGTTTCCTCGGGATGTGGTCCCAGGCCTGGTTCAGTCACTGGGTGCAAGCAGGACCGCCCCATAAGACCATCCACTTAACATGGCACAGGGTGCTGAGCAACTTCCGCGCCGTGCCCCCGCAGCTGCGTGTTCGACGTGTACGGGGGCCCAGTCTGTTCTCATCGTCTACCTCCTCGAGAACGGATGGACATCTCCGACGAGCTGCTCGACGACACCGCCAGCATCCAGAGCAAGTATTGACAGTGGACCAGTGACCATCATGGAGGCGGCGGCATGCAGCAAGGCGTGGACAACCACTCCTGCCGACGGCTGCTGTATCTCGAGTCGATGCGACAGGGAGTCCGCCTCGCGGCGCTCGTGCTCGCCATCGCCACAGGCGCCATGTGGCCCAAAGCCCGAGTGAGGGACGAGGTCAAAGGCGCCGACGCCGACGGTCTACGCGAGCGTTGTGGTGAAGCTCCAGAGATTTTGTTCGCCGACAGGTGCTTGTGGACACGGGTTCTACTCCCAAGGAGCTGGGCAGCGCTACCACCGCCAGTGTCGCACGAGAGCTGGGACGTACATGGAGCTGGCGAGTTTGGCCCTGCATGTTTCGGCCGTGGGCTCGGCGAGCCCACCTGTGTATCTGGAGATGGCAGTGGCGGTGCCGACGCCGCCAGCGCCCCTCGCAGACGAGTCGGGGTCGTCGTCGCAGTGTGCGCTGACCTCGACAGGAACGGCATGCAGCTACGTGGTGCAGCTTCGGGGCCGCTTCCAGGGGCCAGGCAAGCGGTCGTGCGTGCTGGGCTCATGGCCTTGCTGCTGGCCCTGACCTTCACCGCTGGCGACAAAGGTGTGAATTAGAACTGCTGCACCGGTCATGTGGAGACGCCAGATGGTGCCGACGCCGACCTGTGGTTTCGAGTTCGAGAGACAGTCTGGGGCCGAGAGGGCGATGTTGTGGTGGTTTGCGTTCGCTCACGCATGACTGCTCTGGATATCGTTGCAGGAAGGATCAGTGGACCCCTCGCCTATGGAAATGCAGTTGCCGACGAACTCGCAGAGGTAACTGGAGCTTGTGGGATCCCAAAGCATGCCCGCCAGCAATATTGTTTGTAGAGCAGAAAACGCACATAGTTCAAATGCGTATTCACAGGGCCCACATTGAAGCTCTTGAAGCTGACGGAACTGTTCATCCCGAGGACTCTCGCCCACGACGGCTGAAGCATTGGGCTCCAGTCTGGCCGCCTGCCCCAGTTGTCTGTGCCCTGATTTCTTCCGAGCGTGTCATCAATAGTTCGGGTAGTGAATCTAGTGGGCGTTTTAGCTCCTCAGCGAAAACGTTCGTCCAGGGGCCCCTCGGGAAGCAGGTGCATGCGGCGGGGGAGTCGTTCATGCGTCCCATCGTTTAAGGTTCCACGCTGGGCCCAACATATGGTTATGTCCTCATTGCGGGGCGATCGGCGCACAGGGGCTCGGCGAGCCAGCTGATATGCGCGATGGTCCCGCCCCCCCAGGCCGAGGACACCGAGAGGGATCGCAGCCGGTCTCTGCCCGAAGCCCTCAGCATGACCGAGGTAGCTCAGAGGCCCAGCGACTGAACTTAGGTTGCGGCGGAATTGGATTCATTTCGCTGCGCGACCAGACAGAGTCTCCAGAGTACTCGCCCCTCCTGCTGGGGAGTTCATTGGCTTGGTTCCACCTTGTCGCGCCTGGGCGGGGGCGAGCGCATATTGCCCCCCGTCCCAGCCTGCGTGATGAGTGGTTTGCTGGGCCCCGGATTTCTGTCTTCGTTTCAGGGCGTTCTGTTTTGCTTTTCCTCTCCCTTCCCCCTCCTCCCGGGTGTCGGGCGCAGCTTCTTGTTTCGTTCGGGCCATCCTCACTCAGTTCCCCGAGGTCGGGCCTCGGCTTCGCCGGCGGCCATGCGTTCCTGGGCGTCGGCCTCTCCTCTCTCCCCCCCCCCTGTCGGCGCCCGCGTGGGGGGCAGAGCGGTTAATTTGGTGTCCGTCGTATTCTAGCGGGGTGGGGGCGCAGCGCGGGCGCCGTGAAGGTAGGCGCGGAATGCTCGCCGCTGACGCCGTCGATGGCCGGCGTCTCGGTCGCGCGGGCTGCGGTTGTGGGCTGCGATCTCGAGCTGAACTGGGCGGGCACGGGGCGGCGCGACTGGGAGGCCCTGCTGAATGCGGAGGAGTTTTCCGACATGTTTGAGAGCGCCCATGGCGGGGCCCACGAAGGCGAAGACCATCGTGGATAAAGGGGAAGGGCCAGAAATCCAAGTGACTATCAGATGATCGCCACGCGCGGCACCCAATTCCCTTAATGCTGGGAAGATCGTTTCACCCCCGCCAAGACCCGCCTCATGTGCAAAGAGGCTCCAGGGAAATCCGTGGTATCTCATGTCTCTCCGCCTCCTCCGCTGCCATCCATTTCCGACCTGTCCGGCGTGCCTCGGCCGAGGGCAGGGCGCCTCCTCGAGGGATCCCTGGCGAAAATATGCATGGCAGGCTGCGTCTATGAGCTCCGACCCTTGCGTCGACTAATTTAGTTCTGAAGGGGCGCGCGATCCTGCTATGGAATGTCTGGCCTCTGCTGCCTTCGCCTCGATTATGTGTCCTGCCGCGCTGGCGCTGGCAGCGGCGACGAGCGTCTGTGCGAATGTTGCCAGACGCGCGGCCGCGTCAAGCAGCGCGGAGACCGGCCATGTTAAATATCACAATCTACGAGTACAACGTTCGCTCGCCCATGAACTTCGACGAGCGGGCCGAGAGACGTCCGCGGAAAGTTGGAGAGCAACATTGGGATCTGATTGCATTCCT